CCACTTGAATTAGTATTCATCTAGACATATTAGTTGGATATTACAATTTTTTATATTTCTAGAGAGAAGAAATTTTGGTCCAATTTGATACACAAAGCATCTGGCTATAATGTGAAGAGAAGCTATATATTAAAAAAGCCGATGCTTGATTTCAAAAGTTTGGACGAAATTGGCAAAGTTTTAGATTGGGGGCGGTCTGACCGGCACATCACGGCCGGTCTGACCGGTGGTGACCTACGGTCTGACCGGCTTTGCATGGCCGGTCTGACCGGGTAGATGGAGTGGTCTGACTGGCATTGCGTGGCCGGTCCGACCGATTGTGGGCAGAGAGCTGGGGGGCACGTCACAATTGATTTAGAGGCCAAATGAATTGTAAATTCGGACATTTGTGCCCAGGAATAATAAGGAGGTTGGATTTCTTTGATAAAATATTTGAAAGACCCTAGTCTTAAGGTTGATCGGAAGATTCGGCGGCAAGCATTCAAATACACTTTGCTTGATAGAGAATTATATCACCGAAAAATAGATGGAATACTTTTTTTATCAATCTAAGGTTGCTATGGGAGAAGTACATGAAGGAATTTGTGGAACTCATCAATCGGCCCGTAGGATGGGTTGGTTGCTTAGGTGAGTAGGATTTTATTGGCCGAAAGTGATTGTTTCGAATACTATGGAGGATGTGAAGTTTGTTAATGGATCGGCAATGTTCAATTAGCGCCTACCGCCATGTTGAATCCTATCATTAAACTATGGCCATTCCGAGGTTGGGCTTTGGATTTCATTGGTCAAATTTATCCTTCGTCATCAAAAGGGCATTGGTTCGTGCTAGTCGCAATGGATTACTTCACTAAGTGGGCCGAAGCCGTGCCGCTCGAGAATATTACTTGTACGGAGGTAATTGACTTTATTTTGAAGCATATTGAGAATAGATTCGGTATTCCTCAAACATTAAAGGAGCTTCTTTTATGTCCAAGGAAGTGAGAAGTTTTGCCGAATCTTATGATATTAAGTTGTTGAGTTCTTCTCTTTACTACGCTCAGGCTAATGGATAAGCCGAGTCGAGTAATAAAACATTGTTGAAATTGTCGTTTTGCCAGTTGAGGTAAATCTTGGCTCTCTTCGGTATTTCAAGCAAGACGACTTGTCAGTTAAAGATTACAAGACCTTGATGGGAGACAATTTTGAAGATGTCATCGACAAGCGTTTGAAGACTTTGAAAGAGATGGAGACACTTCAAGATGTGTTTTTAGAGAGCAATCAATGGGAAATACTTAAAGAAATACTTTTCTAGCGTTTGGTTAGATGCTTAGGAAGTCCCGTGGCCGGTAATTGGATTATCGTCCTCAGACAACATGTTCTATGCTTTTAGATTCACGATGTTCATTATAAAGGTAGGGGGCATGTGTTTACACCCAAATTTGGCACCTATGGACGAAATAGGAGAAAATTGCCAAAGTTTGGAAAGTGACGGGTTTCCTTCATAGGGCCGGTCAGACCACGGGTGTGTGGGTGGTCTGACCGGCTAGTAGGGCCGGTCAGACCGCCAGGGTTCGAGTCCAAGTCTGTTTTCGTTGGGTCTCGGGTTTCCTTGCTCGGGAAGGCATGTTTCGTGTTTCCTTTGGTTTCTATCCCAAATTGGATGTGGAGGAGGGCCTGTAGAGGGCAAGACCAACCCCTATTTAAGGGACAAGGCCGGTTCATTGTAAAACCCCTGAATACAATCTACTTGAATCGTTCTTTTACTATGTTTTCTACTTTACCCTAGTTTTAGTCCATCTTTGTCGTTTTGCGCCATAAACTGTCCGCCGCCGCTGCGAGAGTGCGACACCTCTTTGTAGGTTTGTCCTGAAAATCTTCCGTTTTGCCCACGAGACGGGTAGTTATCTAGAATCAGCTCCGCTAGCTGGTTTAGTTATCAAAACCCATCTAGATTTAGCTTTTTGCTAGATCGAGGTGGTTGGCGACTCTAGAATCACCGCAAGGCATAAGGTGCTACGATCGTGATTGTCAACTTGTCACAAAAAGTTGCCAACACTTCCCCCTTAGCTATGCATGAAGAGGAAGTACATAATGATGCTGATTATTATTCAAGGCCCAAAGCAACGTGGTAACGATATTGATGTGTACCTAAGACCACTGGTCGAAGATCTGAAACTGCTATGGAAGAAAGGTGTCCCCGTGTGGGATGAGGATAAACAGGAGGAATTTAACCTACGAGTGCTGCTGTTCGTAACCATCAACGATTGGCCTACACTTAACAATCTATCCGGGCAGTCAAACAAGGGGTACAAGGCTTGCACTCTATTAGTACAAAGCTTACAAAAGAGGAAAGGAAAGCTACTAGAGCCATACCCGAACTCTTCCGAAGGCTTCCGGACTCCGATTTCTATTCTATTCCTACTCCACTAGCTTAAGACTACTAAACTAAACTTGAGAGAATATGAGAGAGCTTTGCTTGGATTGTGTGTGGAGGAAGTGAGAATGAGACCTCCTTTTATAGCTTGAGAATGACGGTTGTGGCGGTTGGAATGGTCGGGAATACCCTCCAACTGCCATAGGGAGTCGATCTCAGCCGTCCAGGAGAACCTTGGATCAAATGGTGCCGCGGTGGGTTCGGCCAAACCATGGGCTGGGCCGGCCTGGCCCAAAATTGGCAGGTGGCCACCTCTACTGCTCTCATCCACAGACTTGTAAATTTTGGCCCAGTTTATCGTGTCAATTCTGAGTTCTTGGCCCATTCATGCATAAGTCTGATCCTCTACATCGTCCGATTGATTTATCGTCTGGTTTGATCTCGATTCTCCTCCACTTTATGGTTATTCTCTGCAACAGGTTAGTAAACCTAATACTAGTAGAATATTATTATCTTAACATAAATATGCATTGCAAGAATAACTAGTTCTCCTTTATTTTGGTAATATTGACGGTTGAAACTGATCGCTAACGACCATCAACACACTCACTGTATGGATGAAACTAAAAGTACGTGTCTGAAGCATTGCAGAAATGTTGTGTACATGGGCCATCGTCGATTTCTTGTTGCAAACCACCATGTACGGAGGAAAGGCAAGCACTTCGAACATAAGGCAGGCCACCGTACTAAGCCTAAACATCACAGTGGGAAAGCAATGTTTGTTATGGTGAAAGATCTTAAAGTAGTGTTTGGAAAGGGGCTTGGCAGCCAACCTACAGAGAGCGAAGATGATAACGAGGCGGTGTGGAAGAAGAACTCTATTTTTTGGGAGTTACCATATTAGGAAGTCTTGGACGTCCGCCACACAATCGACATGATGCACCTCACTAAGAACCTTTGCGTAAACCTGCTGGAATTCCTAGGTGTATATGGGAAGTCAAAAGATACAATGGAAGCACGTAATGATCTGAAGCATATGGAACAACACGACGACCTTCCCTTGGAACCAAAGGAGAAACGAAGCCATTACTTGAGTCCAGCCAGCTACACTCTTAGCAAGGCACAGAAGGAAAATATGTTTGAATGCTTGGAGAACATCAAGGTACCGTCTGGATACTCCTCGAATATAAAGCGAATAATAAGCATGAAGGAGAAGAAGTTCACAAACCTAAAGTCTCATGACTGTCACGTGTTGATGACATAGCTGCTACCTGTTATAATTCGGTGTATCCTTCCCAACAATGTCCGGGCAATACTAACAAAGCTATGTGTTTTCATGAACGCAATTTCACAGAAGATCATCGATCCGGATAGATTAGAAACCCTTCAAAATAATGTGGTACAATGTCTTGTCAGCTTTGAGTTGATATTTTCACCTTCATTTTTCAATATAATGACGCATCTGCTTTGTCACCTTGTCAAAGAGATCGGTATTTTCGGGCCTATGTACCTACACAACATGATTCCTTTCGAGAGGTACATGGGTGTTCTAAAGAAGTACTCCCTCCGTATTTTAATGCATGACGCCGTTGACTTTTTGACAAATGTTTTACCTTTCGTCTTATTAAAAAAATTTATGTAATTATGATTTATTTTATTGTGACTTGATTTATCATCAAATGTTCTTTAAGCATGACATAAGTATTTTTATATTTGCATAAAAATATTGAATAAAACGAGTGGTCAAATGTTGGTCAAAAAGTCAATGGCGTCATACATTAAAATACGGAGGGAGGATGTTCGTAACCGTGCTCGTCCGGAGGCAAGCATTGCCAAGGGGTATGAAACAGAGGAGGTCATTGAATTCTATGTAGAATTTATTGAAGACCTTCGCCCAATAGAGGTGCTCGAATCACGCCATGAAGGGAGAGTACGGGGAAAGGGGACTCTCGGAAGGAAAGCAATAATGATCGTAGACAACAATTTATTCCGTAAAGCACATTTCACTGTTTTGCAACAATCTTTATTGGTGGCTCCTTACACGAGGAGCACTTGGCTCTAGTTCGCGCTAGAAACATCAGTAAGTCCGATGCATGAATTACACGCCATCACATTGATACTTTCCCCGCGTGGCTGCAACAACATCTTATGGGTAAAGAGACGATTAACCAACAACTAGCCTTCCTAGTGAGGGGACTATCGGGCTCGATCAGGACATTCTAAGGATATGAGATCAATGGGTACACATTCTACACGAGAGCCCAAGAAATAAAGAGTACGAACCATAACAGTGTTGTTCGTATCGATGCCATGAGACACGATGGTACAACTGGCACGTATTACAGTGCCATCGAGAACATATATGGGAATTTGACTATGGACCTCTAAAGGTCCCTCTGTTTCGGTGCCAATGGGTTAGGCGCCAATGGGTTAGGCTGACCAGTGAAGGCGTAATGATTGATAACAGTGGGATGACAATGGTTGACCTTAACAAGGTTGGTGTAACACCCCAGGTAACCACATACCTAGAGTGCCACACAAAAATATACTCAAAACCACTAACTCCCAAGATTTTTAAAAATTTCGGCAGTCTCCCCTATAATACGGACATCCATGGCAACAATTATAAGATAACTCAACAACGATATAATCCACACAACCCAAACCATTCTAGCTCCATAAATTCCACGTGAAAATAGGGACGGAAACTTTAAATGTCCTTTATAAGTTCTACGCAAAACTTATGCTAAACATAATCATAGTTTAAAACTAAATTTCAATAGTGTGCAACAATAATGTGTAGTCTAAAGGTGCAACTCCCGCCCCATGCCGATCAATGTCATTAGGTACCTAAAAACCAAATTAAACACAAGAGTGAGTAACGAATACTCAGCAAGTACAATATTGAACTAGTAAAACATATACAGGTTTAATGCAATAAGAAACCAATACGAAAGGTTGGATTTACTTTATTCTAAAACAAAGAAGCCAAAAGATAGTAGTTCCCTTCGGGCAGGTATGAATATCCTCATAGCATTACCGGTAAGCCGAGAAAGCGTGATCAGCGCTTCTCAAAAATCATGAATAAAGATCCAAATTGCACTCCTATGACTACACATGGTACTTGAATAATGTAAACCAAACAATCGGAAGAATGAAGCATGAATAAGTGAAACATGAATATGTAGCATAATACCAAAACCACACAGTTAATAATAGGAAGCTTCGAATAATAATTGTGTAAGTGAAACTGAAAAGTAACACAGTTTATCCATCATACAAGTCCGTCTTGTACTTACCTTAACTCCTTCGATAATCCGACTAAACTCTTCCAACATTAGAACCCTCCACACATGTGAAGCAAAACTACACATAAACCATAATACTCAACTAATGATAGTTATGAGGGATATTTACTAAAATCGAGACCTGGAACATATAAACCTTTTACCGATTTGTATTAAATATTCTATAGTTGTTTTATTACTGTTTTATGCGTAATTCACAAACCGTCTAACGGAATCTAGCAAATAATACAACTTCGGACATCTAGACAAAATTTCCTACATCTTTCATGTTGGGCACAAACTCAGATTAAGCCTCTATTGGTCTCAGATTAAGTAAATCTAATTACTGTCCCAGTTAAAACAGATCCGGTCAGCAGTACTGTTTCTTTTGTTTCTCCTAAACCATTTATTGGAAACGAGCGAAACCAGTGGCGTTAGAAAGATATCGACATTGACTACAAATTTTATTTAGGACAATTAATCTGAATCCTTACGGTGTAATACCAGATTTGAAAATACTATTGTCAGCCCATAAACAACAAGTAAAAACACCCGACCGGCAATCCGATCGATTCCCACGTGAAAATTGAACTACCATGGATCAAGACCAGTTACCCTTACAAAGGAGAAAAACAAATTTGAGGTGAATTTGTGGAATCCTAGAAAATCCCCAATTTTGCTTCTGTTTCCCCTTTTCTTCTTTTCCCCTCCTGCTTCCTGTGCCCTGAACCCTCTCTTCCCTCATCGTCACCACCACCAACAGCAGCAGCAATAGAAGGTTAGCAGCAGCTCCAGGAGGAACATATCAGATCGGTGGCAGCAGGAACCAAACACACAGCAGCAAGAACTCACCGGGAAGAAGAAAAACAGAAAGGGATCACCGTGGTGACGGATGACGATGGTTGCGGTGACCGGCTGCAGCGGCGGCGTAGAAGCGGCGCCGGCGACAGGGAGAGCAGCAGCGGCGACACGGGCACAGGAACAGTGCCGGCTAGGGCTATGGCTAGGGCTAGGGCTAGTGCTAGCGTTCCCCTTTTCCTTTTTTTTTCTGTTGATTAAATAGAGAGGCTAATAAAGATCGAACGGCCCACGTTAATTCAATCCTCGGGACTTCGTTCAGACTCCGATTACTATAAACTTATAGTCTATTTTGCACTACTCGGCGAGCTCTACGCATTCACGGTTCCTGATCGCCTATTCAAACAACAGTTTAAAAATTGATCTTTTGTGCGTTTGTTCTAATATTCCACGAAATATATTAATTCGAAACTCGAGGCATTACAGTTGGATACTCGGACGATGTAACGCAAGTTTTTTACATAAAGGACATGTCTAGCAAAGGAAAGAAGGGGAAAGGGCCCGACGAGCCGAAGCGCCACGTGGTTCTCCTAGGCAAAAGAAAAATCGTCGGAGTCGAGGATAAGACTGACGAGGATTATGATCAATTTGACGGGCAACCTCCGTTCGCGGTGACGGTTGACCCTAGCATCCTCCTATCAAATGAAAACACCCCTTACTCACGCAGCGATAATAAGGAATGAACGTTAGTGAGGAGAAAGTACGTGCGGTCAGTCGTCACCGCCAACGTATTGCCCTAGTTGTTTTGTAGACGATGTAAATTGTTTTGGATGTATTGATTATATATGTTTTGGATGCATTGAATATCCATATAATTTAATTGTTGTATGGCATATGTTAATTATATATAATTATTAGAGTTTAAAGCAATTTTAAATCTTGCTTATGTTAATTACATATGAATACTAGAATTTAAAACAACTTTAAATCATGCGTATGTTAATTATATATGATTATTAGAAATTTTAACAATTTTAAATCTTGCATGTGGTAATCTCTACTACTTTTAAAAAAAATTCGTAGTGGTGGTGAGTCCTCATCAATCGAACAGCTGACATCTGTTTTAGGATCCTCCCATACGATCTAACGCACTAGCCTCCCATACGATCTAACGCACTAGCCTGTTCCCCATCCTTCTGCGCTCGCATCGCCCGCAACCACCCGTCCGCATCCGTCGCCTCACGCCTTGCGCTATCCTCTCCCCCTTGCTCGCGCCCGCTCGCCGCCTCGTCCTCGCCGTCCTCGGTCGCGCCAGCGTCGCCGCCGCCATTGATCCTCCCCGACGCCCTCTCCGTCCTTCCCCACAAGCGACGCCACCGCCGCCCCACCGCCCCGACGCCCTCTTCGTCCTCCTCGCCACCGCCATCGCCGCCCCATCGACTCCCTCTCCGTCCTCCTCGCCGCCGCCATCGCCGCCCCACCGCCGCCCCATCAACGCCCTCTCCGTCCTCCTCGCCGCCGCCATCGCTGCCCCACCGCCTCCCCACCGCCAGCGACACCGCCGCCATCGTTCCCCACCGCCGCCATCGCCGCCCCACCGCCGCCCCATCGACGCCCTCTCCGTCCTCCTCGCCGCACCACCGCCAGCGACGCCACCGCCGCCCCACCGCCACCGCCATCGATTCTTGCTACCATCCTCACCACCGCCATCATCATCCTCCCCCACCGCGCTGCTTTCGATTCCCCTGACCGCCCCGCGTAGCCGCCGCCATCGTTTCTCCCCGACGCCCTCGCCATCCTCCTCGCCACAGCCATCACGGTCGCGCCAGCGACGCCACCGCCGCCCCACCGCCCCGACGCCCTATCCGTCCTCCTCGCTGCCGCCATCGCCGCCCCACCGACGCACTCTCCGTCCTCGTCACCGCCGCCACCGCCGCCCCACCGCCAGCGACACCACCGCCAGCGATGCCACCGCCGCCCCACTGCCACTGCCATCGATTCTTGCTGCCATCCTCACCACCGCCATCATCATCCTCCCCCACCGCGCTGCTTTCGATTCCCCTGACCGCCCCGCGTAGCCACCGCCATCGTTCCTCCCCGACGCCCTCGCCATCCTCCTCACCACAGCCATCGCTGTCCTCCACCAGCTCCCTCCCCCACTGCCGTCCTCGCCGCCGCCTGTCGCCGTCCTCACCCACCAGCTTCGACGCCGTCCATCCTCCCCGCTGCCCTCACTGTCCTCCTCCACCAGTGCCATCCTCCTCCACCGCGCCGCTATCCTACAAGAAAAATGAATTTGTGATTTAGAAGTAAAATAAATGCGTACAATATCACTGACCCTTGAAGTCAGATGTGATACATCTTTGAGTGTTGATCTTATAATGCTGGCTATAATCCAATGTCAGATGTTATATGTTGCTTGCTCATGGATACAAAGCAGTGGATTTATAATGTCGACGGCAATGCAGCTTAATGTACAATCTGTTTTTATATACATCTGTTCATGTGGATTTACTATTGTGAAATCTGCTTGCGATTTTTCTTCATTTCTTTCTGATCTACCAAACTGAGATCATATTTACATTTGTCTGAATCAGATTTTCTTTCTGTTATCAGATGAAAAGTTCAAAAGCAAACTAATCAGAGAATTTCTTCTTGCAGGTAACAAGCCTGCCGCCAGGCCTTGGTTCTGGGGTTCTCCTCCACCATTCCAGTCTTCGCCGACACTGCCCGTGCCTCCATCCACCGCCGCCGGATTGGAACTGCGCTTGTGCGCCGCCTTCGTGCCGCCTTTGTGAGCCAATTTCTTCATATTCTTTGCAGCTCATCAATGCCTCGTTTCAAAACAAAAGATTCATTACCTATTATACCCTAAGAGCTCCCCTTTAGCAATTGGTTATATACTTTTCAGTAATGAATTTTCAACATGAACAGATGGATGTACAAATTATATGCCGTAAGAGCATTTGGATTCCTGTTTACCATGCAACTCTGAATAGGTTTTGCACATGCTTATGGATACTCCATGCATGAGCTATTTTAGCTGCACATGTACCCCTCCAGTTTGAGCTTTTATCCACTAATTAATTATTTTATAAACATGCATGGATTTTGCAGTACAGATATTTGGAGCTTTTACAGTTACAAGGGTACAGAAAAATCCATATGGGAAACACCTTTAACAGAACAATTTGTAATGCTATTTCTTCAGTACAAATTGGGAAACACAATGGAATATCCTATGTTTTTTTTATTTGTTCTTCCTGCTGATGGATCCCCTGCAGGCTGCTGTAATCGGTTTTCGTTGAGAGGTTCTTTAGTTAGCTAAACCTTAGCATTGTTAGACTTGCTAATTTATATGATGACATTGTGGCCTTTTATACTGTACAGCTGGCTTACACACATTAAGATATGGATAACAATATTGGGGGCTCCACACCAACATCGTTAAGAAGATCATGTGAGTTTTTTTATCGCTCTATTTAAGGGCAAATTATTCAGTGCATTAAGATGTGTTTTGCATGCTGATTTCGAATGATTTCCTCCCTCAGGCCCTTTTGCTGATATTAATAATGCGAGTGCTGGGGATTCGCCCAAAAAACGTAACAATATTGGGGTCTTCACACCAACATCGTTAACAAAATCAAGTGAGTTTTTTTATCGGTTTACATATGTGACTAATATTCAGTCCATTCATATGTGACTTGCATATTGATTTCGCAATATTTCCTCCCTCAGCCCCGTTTGCCGATATTACTAATACGAGCGCGGGGGAATCACGTATAAACAATGTGCCTCAAAAGGAAAATATGCAAAGTATGAATCCGAAATGTAAAATATGCAAGTTATGATTTTCCATTTTCTACCTACTAGAGTTAACATTAACATAATTTGCATGTGTGCACAGAACTGCAAGAAGATGGTGCTAAACTCAGCGCATTAGAATTAAGAAGGAAGCGTGCTAGAGAGAGGTATGCATCAATGAGCCCAAAGAAAAAGGAGGCGAGGAAAATGAAGGCCCGTGTGTACAAGCAATTGAAGGAGGATGAATACTCAGGTTTAACTCAAACAACTACTAATTATGTCAAAGGTTCCTACATAATCACAATTATATGCCAAACCAGTTTTTAATATTGTTGCATGTGGGCAGCTCCACTTGGTGATATTACAAATGTTAGTGTTGATGATTTAAGAAGATGCCACGTAAATGATTGTTCTACACTGCAGCAAGGATCAAACCATGCATTATTACAGCCCGTTGATAGGACTGGACCTGGTAACATCTTCATTCTTACATTTATCTTGCACAAACAATATGGTGATACAGTTGTTTTGAAAGTAATGTTCTACGTTCCAACAGGAAGTGATCAACAACACATGATCACACCTCGGTGTCTACCATTTACAGTGATCAACAATGTAGCTCAGTATGATAATGTGGATCACACTGGATCCCCTTTCAGCTGCATACTTCAAGGTGCAACACAAAACAGCCATACACTACCTGCAAATACAGGTAAATTCGTAGTTTTTGCCTGAATGAAATTTTGTGTTCATACTAATGGTTATTATTACCAATCGAACAGTAGTCAATATGCTTGATTAAAAATGTATGAGATTCAGATCATAACTAATGTTGCAAATATTTTTTAAGAAAAAAATTGATGTATTGTAAAACAATGCAAAAACAAAAAAAATAAATAAATATGTTGAATACACATGGTCACCCATTGAAATAGTACTTACGTTGGACAACTTTTTGAAGAATGTACTCAATCTCATGCATTTAGCCAGCATTTTATCTAAATGGACTGTAATGTTAACATTGATTAATTGTAGTGGAGAAATGTGCGGTACATTATTGTTTCACATACTCCCTTTATTCCATAATATAAGGCACAACTACTTTTTACAATTGTTTTATAATATAAGGCATACATGCATGTATGTCATTAACTAACACATCTTCTCCACTAAAATATTATTATTTAAACTCTCCACCAAGATCTCTAATTTTATTGGGTGCATACATTATATATATTAGATTAATCCAAACTATGGGGTGAGTGTATTATTATGTTGGAAAACAAATAAGGCGGTCATGACGACCAGGGAACAAATCGAAGATACCAAAGACAGTGATGACGATGTTGTTATATTGGGTAGTCATCAACAGAAATTCGGCTCTAAAAGGGACATCAATGAAAGTAAAGAAGTAAACAAAAAATATAGTTCACTACTCTCCGTGGTATCTACGATGAGTAAACAAGAGTTGATGAGCGGCCTTTTGCAGTACATCCAACAGATGAATTGTGCCGAAGCCATGGAGTAAGCCACTGCAATGCATTGTATACACAAACGTAATTCAAACATGCATTAACTTATTTTCTTTGATTGACAAGAAAATATAAGTACAAAGTTCAAGGCCGCACTTTATTAGCTTGAGTCTCAAACAGCTTCAATCAATACTAAAGAAGGATGAGCCATTGGAAAGTGATTGCTTCAACATGGCTATACGAAAGTTCATGTATGAAAAAATCCAGACAATTCATAAAACTAAAGAAGCAATATCGAATCATTGCCTGGACTTGCAATTTTGGGTAAGTACTTAAAATCTAATGCTCATGTCATTCTCTATTGCTCATGTTATTATCTACAATCACAATATCGAATATATTGATTATTGCTTATGTAATTGAACCATTTTTTAAATCATGTAGAGCGCTAGTGGCTTTGGTAAAGACCCGGTCCACCATGACAACGTACATCTTGAAAAGACCATTGGTAGTTGGTCGGAAATTCATTACAAACTTTCACATTGCAAAGCGGTAAGATCACTAAGATTTGATCCTATATGGTCGTGTTTTATATATTATCTTGACAGTTGATCTTTTGTAGATTCTTATACCAGTACGCCATGCTCGAAGCTTTATCGTGCTCATAGTGGACCAATAAAGTCAAACACTCTATGTATTAGACCCAAATCCACTTATGCCAGAATATAAAAATAACCCAAACATGAGATACACCAGAAAACTGATAACTATTTGTGACCACTTTAACAAAGCTATGAGGAAGGCATGCCCTGGCTCTAGGTGGAATGAAGACATCAACTTGTGGAGGCAAGTATTTGTCAATAATCCGGTTTTCGACAGGTAAGTTATCTTCTAAAAACTCGTTCAAACCAATAAATTTAATTCTGTAGTGCAAGGGTAGCTAACTATCAAATTTCCTTAGGAGTTTATCGGGTTTTGTTGTTCATCTCTTCATGTGTACATGGAAAAATAAAGAACCACATTTGTCGGCTATTAATGTAAGTCGTGATAGGCATTGATTATACATATAATACATTATTTTATATTTACCAATATTTAACTTATTATAAATACATGTGCAGGATAGTGACGAGCTAAGGAAACTTTTTTTTGCTAAATCTACTGATGTACCAACAAAATGAGTGTGAAAGCAATATTCCTAACGGCGCACAAGATTTTCTGAAGTGTATAAAAAATGCACAACATTAGGGTAGTTATTTAACTATATGGAGTGATTTAATTTGAGGTGATCATCCATTAGAATTACCGTATCTAGAAATGCTGGATGTTCCATATTTTTTGCTTGTGCTTTATTTGTATGACATCATCAAATTTTCATAGCTGTCTTCTATCTATGTTGCTTTTTATAATTTAATAAACGCCATGAGATTGTTTTATGCGCCAAAAAGGTTGCACTACACTTCTATAATGATAACATATATCTTGCTTTCAAATTAATCTCAAAACAACTATGACTTGTAGTTTCTTTTCGATGCCAGATTTTATCCCCCGTGATCAACAAAATTCCCTGTAGCAACGCACGGGCACCCTACTAGTTATATATGATTATTAGAATTTTTAACAATTTTAAATCTTGCATGTGGTAATTACATATGATTATTAGAATTTTTAACAATTTTAAATCATGCATATGATATTTATATATGCTTATAAGAGTTTAAAAAAATTTTAAATCATGCGTTTGTTAACTATATATGATTATTATAATTTTTAACAATTTAAAATCTTTCATATGCTAATTATATATGATTATTAGAATTTTAATGCATTATAAATCTAGTATTTGTTAATTATATGTCATCCACATAATTTACTACATATTTTAATCTATTTTAAATGTTTTGTCATTAATTTTGTGATTTTAAATCATTTTAATGCATTATTTACTATTACGTTAAACCCATATGTAATGAAAATAAATAAGCACTGTTATTATCTTTAGTCCCGGTTCTTAACCCTAACCGGTTCAAAAAAGAACTTGGAAATAGCGGGAAAAGATCTTTTCCCGGTTGGTGGCTATAACCGGTTATTACCAACCGGGACTAAAGATCGTCTCTTTAGTCCCGGTTGGTGAGAACAACCGGGACTAAAGAAATCTTTAGTCCCGGTTGGTGAGAACAACCGGGACTAAAGAAATCTTTACTCCTGGTTGTAGCTGTTGGTATTTCTTCTTTACTCCTGGTTGTAGCTGTTGGTATTTCTTCTTTACTATATAATTCCCAGCAATAGCACTAGAAATAATCCTGGTATATTACAGTTACTGATGTGATCCGCAAGTACACGTATATACCATTGCAACATTTCACCCGGGAGTATTCCAAGGTATCATATTTATTTTATCCCAAGGAAAAATATGATAAGAGAGTACTATGCTAATAGTTTATACTTTACTTGTATACATCAAGGTCTATGCACGGGTAAGTTAAGCTTAAGGGTAGAGTGACAGACAGCTGAGGATTTAGCTAACTCCTACATCTCCTAATTATAGCTAAGTGGTAGTAGTTTAAATATGTTCCATTTCTGTACTTCTAGTATACAACATCTTAGTATACTCTAACTAGTATACACTATGTTGTATAACCCCTTTAACAATGCAGCATTGCTAAGCCGTAACTCAGCTATGCCCTCACGATGCATCGCAAAGTTACCCCGGGTTGCTGAGTTTTTTACAACAACCTGACATAACCCTCCAACCGAAGTAGGATACATAGGTGTATCCAACCCCAGTAAATTGTATGTAGAAATATAAACGGCGGGGAAGACGTCCGTACTAAGCTATCACCATCAGCGGCCTGCTACTCTCCCGGCGAACATACCTCTAAATAATGATGAGTGATAACCTAAACCCTATGCTTAAGTTACTACTTATTACTCTACAGCCTTGCAATCGGTGCAGAGCATCTGGGTCCTCGGGCCATAGCTCTCGACCTAGCCAGAGCAGACTTATGACCCGGTAATCAGATATTATACCAGCATCAATGCAAATCCCAGAAGGTTTAACCACACAGATTATACTACTTATGAATAAACTAAGACTGATACTCATACTCTATGATTGGAATAAAGTACCAAACTTGTATAAAGAAGAATATTATATTTATAAATGGAAGTCTTACAAAGAAGAAAGGAAAAGCTATAGAACCTTTACTGAACTCCTCGAGGCCTCCGCGGACTTGGAACTATTCTAACTCTACTCCACTAACACTAATACTAACATTGTAGAGAGCTTTGATCCTTGCTTGAGTGTGTGTTGAAAGTGAATGAGGTGAGGTCCTTTTATAGGCAGGTATGACGGTTGTAGAGCATGGTAATTGTCGGAAATACCCCACAACCGCCATCAGGAGTTCGTCCAGAGCGTCCACACCAAACCCCATCCTGAACGGCTGTGATGGGGAACCATGATATGGCCTAAACGGCCCAATTTTTGGCAGGCCGACTCCTTGTTTGCTCCTCAATCCAAAACATGGAATTTTGGGCTTAATTGATCATGTCTTTTCTGAGTTCTCAGCCCATCTATCTATAAGTCTGATCCTCGGCAGCACCTGATTGATCGTTTGTCTATTTTCTGTCGATTCTCCTCATTTATATGTGCTTCTCCTGCATACATGTTAGTAGCAAAGTATATAGTGGAAGTAGATATTTTATTTGGAATTTGTGCATTGCAAGCATAGCTAGTCTTCATACTTTGGTTAATATTGATGGTCGAAACTGGTCGATAATGACCGTCAACAAGGACATTATGGAAGTCACAGCCGCGCCACAGCCGCCGCCGCCGCTGCCACAGGCCGCCGCCGCCGCCATCGATACCGACGCCGCCACAGCCGCCATGCCCCTGCCGCCGCCCTGTCGACGCCGCCATAGCCGCGGCCACTGCCGTCGCCTCTGCTGATGCCGCCACTGCCGCCGTGCCACTGCCTCTGCCGGCGGCCACCAGTGAATGAACGTGAACGAACGAGAAAAAGATCATGAACGAACGAGAAAATGAGTGGAACGAACGTGAACGAACGATAGAAATGTTAGAACGTACGTGAACGAACGAGAACGACAGAACGAACGAGAAAATGAGTGGAACGGACGTGAACGAACGATAGAAACGACGCACACGCCGCCCCGCACCGCGGCCGCGCCAATGCCGCCGCCGCCAATGCCGCCGCCGCCATCACCTCTGCCGACGCTGTCATAGCCGCCGCACCACTGTCGCCGCCTCTGCCGACGCGGCCACAGCCGCCGTGCCACAGTCGCGGCCACTGCCGCTGCCTATGCTGACGCCACCAGTCGCCGCGCCTCTGCCTCTGCCTCTGCCGGCCGCCGCCCGTGAATGAACGTGAACGAACAAGAAAACGAACATGAACGAACGAGAAAACGAGTGGAACGAACGTGAACGAACGATAGAAACGTTAGAACGTACGTGAACGAACGATGGAGACAGAACGAGAACGATAGAACGAACGTGAATGAACGAGAAAACAAGTGGAACGGATGTGAACGAACAAGAAAACGAGTGGAACGGACGTGAACGAACGATAGAAACGATAGAACGTATGTTAACGAACGAACGAGAACGATAGAACGAACATTACCGAACGATAGAACGGGACACCTCGTTAACGAACGATTTAAGTTACATTTATATTAGAACAATTTAGACTAATACATTTGTTTGCATTTTACTGAAAAATACATGGTCAAGCACTGGTCGTCACCGTTGCTCAAGCCTAAGTGGTATCAAGCCCTCGGAGGAATTTGCTCAGGCAAGTGACATTAACGATCAAACGTGATTCAATATTGTTTTGAATTGTAACAATCGTTTGTGCCCAAATTAAAATTGTTATTACATTGTAATAATAAGTTGTATTTAACATACACCCGACATAAGTCAATATATGATTATTAGAGTTTAAACCAATTTTAAATCTTGGACGATGTAAATTGTTCTCGATGTATTGAAGATCCATATAATCCAATTGTTGTGTGGCATATGTTAATTATGTATGATTATTAGAGTTTAAAACAATTTTAAATCATGCTTATGTTAATTATATATGAATATTATAATTTAAAACAATTTTAAATCATGCTTATGTTAATTATATATGAATATTAGAATTTTAAACAATTTTAAATTATGCATATGTTAATTATATTTGATTATTACAATTTTTAACAATTTTGAATAAAGCATATGGTAAATATACATGATTATTAGAGTTGTTATTACATTGTAATAGTAAGTTGTATTTATCATACACCCGACATAAGTTGTAAATAACATACGCCTGCAAATATTTCTTGTATGAACAGATGGCTGATCGCGATGACGAACAGATACAATACGACACGATCGTAGAGGGAAGCAGCCAGTACTAGAACAAAGAAGAGGGGAACGAGGATCCGAACCAGTAACTAAACGAGGAGGGGAACGAGGAGGAGGAGGGTAGTGGAAGTCAACCCTCCGCTAGACAGAAGAGGGCACGCGGACAACGAGGTGCTGTGAAGAAGATTGAGGGTCGGCACATCATAACTGAAGTGGACAAAGACAGCTGACCAAGTGCCCCGTCAGATGCAGCCTGGAATTTCGTACGACACAGCGGTTGGGTTGTGAGGGATAACATGCCTGTCAGCACGGTGTACTGGCGCAGAATAAGGACACACGGGGATTTTGAATGTTTTGTCCCAGATTCAGAGAAAGAGATGCTGTGGACCATAATGCTCGAGACGTTCACGCTCCATGAGGGTACGGAAGACAAAGTGAAAGAGTGGACTCTGAAGAAAGTGACTGAACAGTTTCAGAACTACAAGGGAGACCTCTACAAGAAATGCATCATGAAAGGGCAGACAATGAACTTCAACTCATTCCCGAAGCTCAGGGATCATTGGGATGACTTTGTTGCTTACAAGACAGGGTAACAAGGGCAAGCGCAGATCGACCGAAACAAAGCAAATCCCGCTAAGAAGAAGTACCATCACCACCTGGGGTCAGGCGGCTATAGCATCACAGTGCCGAAGTGGGAGGATATCGAAGCCGGCTTGATTGAGAGAGGTATCGAACCGGCCATCTCTAAATGGCTGGAATGATCAAAGCGCTGGTACTATGCTCACGGTGGAACGCTGAACCCCGCTGATGGCTCCCTGGTGTTCAGCAATCAGATACGCGAGGCTGCCAATCGACTAACGGAAGCAGTGGAAGCCTCTTCTCAGGGCATGTTTCGACCGGACAGAGAGAAGGACGAGCTTACGCTCGCTCTGCAGACTCCCGAATATCCAGGACAAACGCGAGGGAAAGGCGTGGTTCCTTGGAAGATTGGATTCAAGGAGGACATCCACATGTACAGGAGTTGGATGAGGAGCAAGAGAGATACCGAGGCGAAGATTGCAGATCTCGAAGATAGGGTATCGAACTATGAGCTCAGTATGCAAGAGGAGGTGGCAAGAA